GCCAGGGGCTTAGAAGACGTGACAAAGATTCCCAGAGCTGCTAGGGATGAGAGACAGACAAATACAGTGGGATAAAAGCCTCAAAAGATGACACATCGATCAAATTTTAGCCAGTTCTCCTTTTCCCTCAAATAGTCTGTATCTTTAAAAGACTTCTGAATGTTGTCTTTGAAAAATACCAGTACTGCTAATGAAGGACCAAATCTTCTCCCTGTGGTCCAGGTATGGCATGAGAAGCATCGGTGTGTACATTTGCTTCCGAAGTACATCAAATGCGGGAGCAAGAGGCTATTGCAAATGGTGGCCTTCAGGCTCAACTTTTCGCCTGACACTGTCAGCAAGGACAATTAGTGCCAGCTGCAGAAGCAGCTTATACGATGTGGACATAGGGTAAAAAATGAGTGGGACCCTCAGAGGGCTTTGTAAGGGCAAAGACACACATACAACTTCTGCACACTGAAAAGATGCAAAGACAGGCAAGCTACACAGCAAACTGTGCTTTTACAGCTACCCATTAACTGAAGTTCAACACAAATACAATCTCTCTGTGAGCACAGCGGCATCAATTTAAATATTGTCTCCAGGATAATGGTCGACTTTATACTTGCAACAGTTTAAATGAGAAAAGATTTTGGTTCCTTTTGCATTTAATGGCAATGCAGAGGTTGCCATATAAATATGCCTGTAACTGCATAAAAAGCATACTACAAGTGTTGTGGTAAAAAGATGAAAAACATTAAAAGCAGATGCATCTGTGTGCATTGGTGTGTGCATTATATCCCAGCAATTATCACAGAACATAAAATGACTAATTAATACTATCACAGAAAATAAACCAACCCTCTAATGGTGACTTCAGATTCACACACCTCTAGCATAGGAAACCAGAGTTGCTTGGCAGCAGTCTTCTACATACACCAGCTTGCACACTTATGGTGAGACATTTTGTATTAATTATTATTATTACAGATCAGATGCATTTAAAAAGGTGCGTTAATGTCTTCTGAACACTTGCAAGCTTTGTGTGCAACTACCTCAGTCATTCTGCAGGATTACTATTACTCTGTTAAATTCCTGTTGTATGGAACCTGTCTTGCTTTACGAAGTCTGTATGAAGACTTTGGAGAGACGTTACTTTTTACAAGCTAGAAACTCTCTCCTCAGGTATGTGTGACATGTGCTGTATGTGGGGCAGATTAACCCGAGATGTTACTTCTCTCTGCTTTAGCAATCCATCTCCAGCCTTTTATTAGCTTTACAGCCGATAGGAGCAGGCCCTTTAAGGCAGGTAACAGCTGTCACTTTTGACATATGCCTATTTCTTACTTACCTTCCACTAGCCATGGTCCTGAGGGTGACTGACCTAAGTAATTCCCTTTTCTTCCCCACACGCCTGTACAGACCTGTGAACTGCTGAAATGCTCTGGATCTGAAGGGAACAAGTGACCTTTCATTCTGTTTTAGATCCTGGTTTCAATAATACTCATGGGCACCTAATGAAGAAATGTCCTAAATTTTAAGTTTCTAGTTCACTGGAAATGTACGAATGAACCGTACCAGTTTCTGAGTGATATTACACAACACTTACATATCCAATACTCTCTTGGAGCCTCTGCTCTGCACAGCTCCACACAGAGGATAAAAATCGGGGTGTGACATGGCAGTGTCCCTGAGCCCTGGAGAACACAGTAGGGGCACACTGCCCTGGAGGCTGTGCTCCATGCAGGGCAGTACCTTCAGAGGACATGGTATCACTGGAGTTCACAACCAAAGCAGAAGCTTAAGCTACCCAAAAGCTCTGCTGCTCCTTCAAGTGTCCCACTGTGTTTATAGGCAGTTGTCATATTTTTATTTGCTACAGACAACACAGGCAAACCCACACCAGGCTGGTCATAATGGAACACATAAACCAGGAAGCTTACACAAAAGCAGTGTTGACTTTTTCACTTACATTTTTAATTCTTGTTGTTTTTAATGACTATTGGTCAACCAAATACTGCAGTTTTGTATTTATTCTTACGACACTCCAAATGTGAAAGCTGTTGTGCAGTGAGCTCGCTCCTCTGAGATCTGAACAGCTCTGCAGAGGGATGCAGCTGTAGCTGCACTGAAAACCTGCAGACCGCCTTCCTAATCTCAACATTTCAGACTCAAGGGTCAAGTCATAGTCAGTGCTTGCACTGGACAGAGTTCAGACAATCAGATTACCCTTCTTAATCCTACGGATGCTTTATCTGAAGTCTTTGACAGTTTGACCGTCACTGTAAAACTTTGGGGACTGCATTCTCTACTGTACTAGTATTGCTTCTGCTTTGTGAGACGCCTCTGCTCAAAACAGACATTGCCTTGGAGCCTAACCTTTATGACTACGTTTGGAGATACTGTCCTTTTGACAAAAACATACAGGCTGGAATAAACAGGTCTTTTGTGAAGTTTCACCATTTTGATCCTGAATGGAGTTTCTTCCTCCTTATTTTCCCTCAGGAGATTTTCTTCTAAATGGACATAAAGCCACTCTAGTCTGAAATACAACTTGTTATCTTGGAAATAAGAAAAACATATTTCTTAAATCAAGAACATGTCTCTAAATACATTGTTGAACAAGCTAAAGCTTACTGTTAGCTCTCAGAAGAAAATGTTCCGTTTACAAGAACAAAATTTTATATCTATCTGTGAAGAAATACTGGAATATTTTAGCATCAAGGGAAAAGAAGTGTGGGGAGCTTATGAATTTTGCATGACATAAGTGTTGCTATCTGTATGCTTGAGAGGCCACCAGATGATTAAATTGGCTATAGTTTTGTTTCGCAAAGAGGGATATGGATTCACATGCTCAGTGGTTATAGAACTATAGGGCAAATGAATAAACAGATGGTAACTTATAGAATGGCTATTAATCTCTCTGCTTCCCCCTACTCTGCAGTTGAAGAGACAGGGCCAGAGGTAATTTGGGCAGGGTATCCACCTCTAGGACACAATGTAGGGCCCATTACAAGATTCTCTGGAAGTGAAATGAAACCAGATGTGCTGCAGACTGAAACCTGGCACAAAACAGGTTACCCACACAGAGTAGAAGCTGAGGTGTCCTTTCTCCCCTTCCTTACATTCACATACCAGGGGAGACAGATGGGAGAGATCCCTTCCTGGGTATCAGCCAGCCCTGGGAAATACTTCACATGACAGGTTTCAGATCCTGGAAACACAGGGACATACAGATGTGGCAGATGCTAAAGGCATATGGAATATTCAAGGTCACCGACTCGCGTATCTGTATGTTGCTGGAGGAATGTACAGAATATTCCATCAGGATCTGGAGTTTCTGAAAAAAAAATCCTCAGATGCAGAACTGTCTTAAGATAAGCCTACACTTTTGGAAGAGAGGTATACCCTGCCTTGAACTGGTTGAAAAAGGCATCAAAGGAAGAGAACTGCACACACTGACCAGCCTGACACAGGAGAAGAGGTCACTCTTATTTAATCCAAGCACTAACACAAAGCCACAATACGCAGTTTCTGGAGTAAAGAACTGACAAGCTTGCTGAACAGCCTGGCCAAGAGCCCAAAAGTCTGATAGCAAACTCAGCACGTGTGTAGACTGTTTAGTGGTTTACAGTCTGTTTATTTCTGCTATGACTTTTGTTCTTGCATAAGTCCTATTCAAGCTTCTGCAATACAGAGTCACTGGCAAATGCTGCTGTTGTCCCTGAGAAAATGAAATGGCAGGTGCCACACATCCCCACACTAAATCCCCTTTCTGGATGGAGGCATCACTCCCAGAATGTGATGGGAAGGTTGAACATCTGAAGATGTGCTCCTGAGGAAGCCAAAAAAGAGAAAGAAAAGGAAAGCCAGCTGGGCTGAGGCAGCCTATGCCAACCCTCTGTAGGATAGAGTCTGTCTGTCAGTACTCCGCCATAACAGGTAGAGTGTCTTGGCTTCCCTTCTCACTGTGGAAAAGCTCTTCAAAGCCACCTGCAGTTGTGCAGTCAGCATGTTGTTAAGATGCTCAGATGCTACTGCCTCTTAGCTGAGCAGACTCTCTAGACTCCATACAAAGCACCGATTTGACTTTCTAAACTGCAATAAAATGCTAGATTTGAAATATGCAAATCCAGAGTTATCTTGCCCCTCAATGGTCTGCTATCAGCAAACACAGCTGGCTAGAAAGAAGACAAGTCACCATTCCCTTGAGCAAACGGGCTGGATGGATTTAAGTACCACACATATTTGTGAGGGTTTTTTTAACTACTTTATGAGAAGATAACAAGGTAAGCAGAGGAAATGGAAGGAAAAGCTGAAAACCAGTTAATTGTTCAGCTGTCAACATGGGGTCCATCATTACTGACTTTCCCTGCAGAAACTTAAGTCATACCAAAGATTATGGTCATTCCCCTGGGGCAAAGAAAACACTTGGAAGGTCATGCAATAGTAAAACAGTCGCCCAAAATTACATCTTCCTCAGAAAAAGTATTCAGACTCTACCATCCACAATTTAAGCCTATCAACAGAACCGGCTGTGCAGAGGGAAGGGCTTTATGTACCAAAAAGTGCTAATGAGCCATTTGGACTACCACCTGAATTTTTCATCAGCAGTATTTCCATTTGAGAATTCTCTAAGATGATTCAAAACTACTTCACTGGCTTTTTATTTCTTGTTTCATGTTCCACTTTACAAATTGCACCTGTCTTGCAATTCCTACAAGTAGCCCAGATGCCAGTAATGCTGCTCTGGCAGATGAGGTTTTAGGTTCTTAACCTGCTTAAAATAATTCATTATTAACATTTGGGAAGAAATATCACAGAGGCATTTCCTGGTAGGTTATATGTAAGTGCTGCCATCAACTGCCAGCATCACTGAGGCATTTTAATTTCATCAGGTAACTGACCAGTTGTTGGGATTCACATCTCAATGGATATTTAATTAATCTCTAGAAATAGACAGTTCTGGAAACATTAACGGTATCTGTCACAGAGAGATCACAATTTCTAAAAGCATATACCTGTTCCAAAATGGTGTTGATTCTGTCTACTTCACAGTCAATTAAGTATCTTTTTTCTTGCCGTCTGTCCATCTCCTCTATAATTCTTCTGAACTCTTGAACATCTTTTATGCTTCCTACTGATCTGGCTGTCACTTGCCAGTTGTTTTGTACTGCTGCTTCCATAATTGCCTGAAGAATGGAAAATCCTGTAGGGGAAAGAGACAGTGCAACTATTTATAAACAGAACTAAAACTGTTTTGAATGTTTGACAAAGGGTTCACAGTAACTTGCATCATCCAAAGGGACACAGACTAGCTAACAGCCTGCAAATGCTTCACTACTTGAGAAAGCAACAGTGGAGGGACCAGTTTCTTCTTTCAGCCACACCACTGCCAAAGTCACTGACCTCAGCAGAATTGCTTGGCGCTATATTGCGGTGAGGTGTATCAGAATCTGTCCAATATATCATATTATGATCCTCTCAGGGATGTTTATGGTCATGCTGGGGTCCATGCCAGCTGAGAATAGAAGCCTGCAGCCATTACTTGGGCAAAATACCATCAGCTTGAAGGGCCGGACAGAAGGGGTAATTTGCTTGTGCAGACTGCAGCAACGGGTCATTAACTGGCAGAGATCCAAGCACTGCACAAGAATGCCAATTAAGTCATTGCACTGGCTATTGAGCCACAAACCACAGGAGAATATTTTACTGATACTCACCTTGATTTCAAAAAATGTTTTTAAATATAGAGTCTAGCAGCATTAAGCACACTTTGAATGCTTTTGTTAAGGTAATACCAACTTATTTAGCAGCCTCAACAGAGGAGAGAAGTAGCACAGAATAACCAAAGACTGCACAGTGGGAAATCATAAAAGCAAACACCTTTTCATTTCTTGTGGATAGCCATGCAGACAGAACTCACATCCCTAAGTGAAAGGTGGTGGAACTGGAAATGGTGATCTCCTTCAAGTCATGCTATGTAGGAGCCATCAGACATTGATTTGCATCCCTTTATTATAGTATGTATCTGGGAATTTGGTGAATTACCTATTTTGATTCAGGAAATTAAAATTTTTTCATAGTTCTAATTGTTTCAAGTCTGGGTGGATGCCAATCAAAGACAGAGGTCATCTACTTCCAGCACAAACAGTGGTTTCCAGCGGAGTTTCTTTCAATAGAAGCATCCATGTGCACTGTGTTTCTGTCCAGATAATCTATTTGCAAAACTTTCAATCCAATCGTTTAGTCATACTATGGATTTCTTATCCATAGCCAGATTTGAAAAGTGCACAAACACATAAACATACAGGATCAACAATCAATTGTGCTCTGTGATAACCAGACCCTACGCTTCTGAAACTGAAAGGAGTTTGAGCTACAGAGGAACAGCATGTTTACTGCTTCAAATTATACCAATAGCTATTCTGAACTTGGATATCACTGTAGAGGTACAGTGGTAACTGAGAATTGTGCCGCAGTGTGCTGTTCCATAGCCTGTTGTAAATCTGTAGTGGCTGTCTGAAGCCAGAGGAGCTGCATCATTACCTCATTAGAGACACAAACAAGAAATGAATGTGATTTTCTAGACTGAAGTTAGATTATCACAATTTGCCATGTGACTTCATTAAGTCTTACTCAAATGCCCTCACTTCACCTGTGCAGCCTCCTTATTTCTCAATACTTGTCTTTGTATGAATGCACTTTACTATCCCATGAAAGGTGGTGACAATTAATACATGCGCTGGTTGGGAATTCTTTCTGGCATCTTCTTTCCCCTGAGACTATTGAAAGAGAGGCATTTACATAAGAACTCAGTCTTCCTTAACATCATATTTTACAAAAATGGCTGTGATGCCTGTGACAGCACTGTGATCCCATTACATGTAGGAGGAAGATCTAAGCCCAAGATATTTGTTTCACTGCAAACAAGGAATTCTGATGTGGGAACATAAACACCACTAATGGGGACTTAGAAATGCTTTGTGTACAAAGATGTGCTTTTAAAAAAATATGATTCCACTAAGTAATGAATATTTACAGCTTTGTTTCATCATTCATGTAATGTCTAAGCATGAACCTTGAGCTTGCTGTAAACAACAGAAAACAGTCCATAAGTCTATTTTTTTCACTTCAAATTGAACAAAATAGTTCAACATATTATAAAAAAATGACACTTCAAAAAAAATCTGTAGCTCTACTTTATGCTAATATCACATACAAAACTTATGAATTGCCTTGAGGAAAAAGTGAAAAGACACATGCTAAAGAGCAGATGCCATCGGTTTACTGCCATGTACCCGGCTTCAGTTAACTCTTTGAGTCAGAGCTCACTTTGTCAAACCTTGAATATCTCAGAAGAAAGCTGGGTGATTTTCCTAATTCTGTGCAATTGCATGTTTGTGGGGGTGTGAGTGTGTGTGTTTTTGCATGTGTGTGCATTAGTGGTTACCATTTCAAGAAAGGGAAGAGCAAAGTTACCCAGCAGTCTTTCTCCTAGACATGAAAATACAATTACAGTTATCTTACTGTGAAAAAGTTCCAGAGCTTCATCATCTCTGCCTTCTCTACCTCCTGTTTCTCCTTATCACACCAAGTCTTTACAGTCACAGTCCCCTCTACCTTTGCCAGGTCTCGGAACCCTCCCTATGGTCACTGTGCCATGCCAGCTCACCTCTCTTGGGCTCACTCCCTCCTGTCCTCACTTTGAGAAGTACTGTTTGCCCTTCCTGCTGGTTAGGCCAGTCCTCCGACAACCTCTACAAAGCCCATTCCCCTTTTAGGAAAAAGGGAATTTCTTTTATTTCCTTTACATAGGCATGGTTCAATCCTCCTGCTCTCAGGAAGGCAGCACACTTTCATTTTTGCAAACGCGTGTTCCCTGTTCTCAACCTCTGATCTCTCTCCATGCCTATTGCCTTCAGTGTCATTTACCACCTATTGCATCACTATCCATTATGTGGTATTTCTGTAAACAACATGTTCCAGGCTCCAGATGTACTCTACCATTAAGAGAACTGTTACATAAGTAGTGTGATTGTTTAAATAAAAGGACCATTTTATCTTCAAATGTGCATTTTTCTTTCTTCTTAGCATAACAATGCAAGCCGTGACAGTTGGGGGGCACTGCCTAAGTAAGGAATGAGGGCATTATTTTCCCTGTTCTATGCACATCAGTGACCAGACCTTCACATGAAGCTTTTCCATTCCCTATCCCCCAGTAAACACAGTATGCGAATGCTCTGCAAGAGACGCTTGCCCCTTAGCACCCTGGAGGTGCTGAATTCTCCTGGGTGCCTCTCACCCCATTCACCCTAAAGGAAACCAGCCAGCCATGGCAACTATCTCTATTTTGTAGTCTTTCTATGGCCTGCATCAGTCCTAAAGACTAAAAGACTGGCAATTCACCACAGGTCTGTGAAGAAGGCTTTCATTAATACTGTTGCCAGCTGATACTACTCAATAAAGCCAAAAAATATTAGATATGGCAGAAAAACTGACATCCTCCCAGAAGATAACAGCAATGAGATCATCCCAAAACAGGTTCATAATAACATTCAAATGTGTCATTGTCTGGATTATTCTCAAGATACTGATGATTTAAAAGAGCCAACCCTCATTCTGAACAGTCTGCAAAATGACTGGGCTGGAGGCAGCTACAGTAATGAAACTAGAACAAAACAAGTGCCCAGGTTACCTCTCAGTGAGCTGAAACATGTATTTTGAGATTTGCTGACTGAAGCTTGCAAAGAGGGAAAATATTCAGTAAAAATTCCCCTCAAAGCAGAGAAAATGTAATTTGTTGCAATGCTATCTCTGTACTTCAAACCACCCAGACAGAATTACATTCCAGGCAGCCCTCCCTGCAGCTAGACAAAGACACAAATTCACCCAGTTATCTTCATACTTCTGCCAGGGAAGCAAAGCCTGTACCTCAGTCTTTCAGATCATCCCTTTGATAAAAGCATCTCTCAACTGACCCTACTAACACTGGTAAACAGAACATTTCACTCTTTTGTATCTATGAAAGCTCAGGAAACTTTTCCCACACCCATGTAAGCAAAGTGCATCTGAGCAGTGTGCTCAGCCATATGAAATTCTAGGTACTACATCACCTAACTTACTCTTGTTTAAGTAACAGCAATCATTAATGTGTCATGAGTAAATGACCACACTGGAACATCTGTAGCATCACATGAGCCCTTAGAGCTGGCATCAAAGTACTTACTAATTAAAAATTACCACCTATGTAAATCACTCTTTTCCTGAATGTTCCTGGTAAGATTTTGGACCGTAGTCTCCTACTAGAAAAGAAATAGCATTTCCTTGAAGTCCCCCTTTCTTTTGCCTTGCTGAATGCCAAAGATCTTTGAGGGGTATATTTTCTTGGCATGCAGCATGCTTGTGCAAGCTGAATGAACATCAGCTCTGATCTGAATACTTGTGTTTTGAACTATGCATCTGGGACACGATATGAAGAACTAAGCTTCTGGCGTATGAGTGAACTTCTGGGATTTAAGTGAGGAGCTGTGTTTGACAAGGGCACAATGAATTCACCAAAAACGAGGCCATCAAGGCAAGTGCTTCCCCAAGACAAATACAAATTCTACAACGCCAGCTTACATTTCAAGTGTACCAGAGGTCTTAAGTTGAGAAATTCTTGGATATTCTGTGTGTTTGGCACTGAGCCTAGCAAACAGATCAACATGTTAGGCGCGAGTAAAAAACAACTAGCCAACCCAAAACACTCCATATCATTCAAATCCAAACATGTCAGCTAGGCAAGTATGCTTTAGATCACTTGTGTCTGCTTAACATTTTTATAGCATAGGAAAAAGCAAGGAACAAGCCACTAAATTAGTCACCAGTAAGAGATGCAACAAATGACTAGTACACTGAAGTGCTCTACCAGTTCGACACGTGTAAATTCAAACTATTAAATTTAAATAAAACAACTGCATTCCATCTGTTCCTGACCTGATCACATCTATGTGGTAACCAGCACATAAAGTGTTACACTTCGCTGTTCTGGTAACAGACAACCTTCTAGACCAAGTAGCAAACACATTCCAATGTTATCTTTTTTCTTCTGCTTCTATTCAGTAAAACTCTAGTTTCCCCTGCACATTTATTACATTATTGCAACCTGCCTCCATAAACAGAGAAATCTACACAAATAGGTATATCAGCTTGGTTGAGTAAATGTGA